TTCTATTCCTTCCTCAAGGTTTACTGCATGCAACTTTTACAGGGAAGAAAAATTATGCAGGAGTGGCAGGAAAGAATGTGAAGGGGAGTGACACAAAACAGCAGGAACTGTTTCAAGGACGCGGCATGAGAAGAGGCAGAGGGCAGCCACAGAGCAGTCCACTTTGTGCACAGCAGAGAACAGGCTGTGCAAGGGGATGCTCGTGGTCATTTACTTGCCAAAATTACCCCTGGAGCTGAAGCGTAAGTGCCTTTTTGGAAATCTTTCCTAATTCCTCCAGGCTGATCCATATTTGTCACAGAGGGCTAACAGCGATGACAAAAATAATAGAGAGACTGCAGAAACCTGAATGCTTCAGTTTAAGAGCCCTTAAACATCAGGTTCGAGGTGTGAGCCATTACTGCAGCCATTGCTTTACTCAACACCCCAGGTTTCACCTCAGTACCACCCTTCTCAGCCCCAGCACAGCCAGCCTGGCCCCACGGGGCAGTCAGGCAGGACATACCACTCCTCGGGCTTGGGGTACACCGTGTGCCTCAGCGCGTTGTCCGGGTCGTACTCGAAGGCCACGCCGGCCGTGGGGTTCCACTTGGCGTGCTCCTTGCCAAAGCCCTTCTTGGCGTACGCTCGCAGCCGCAGCTCCTGGCCCTTCCGCAGCTTCACGATGAGGATATCTGAGGAACAGCACAACAGAGCTTGAGAAGGCTGCGAATGAGCGTGCAGGATCCCACAACGGCCAAGGCAGCAATTATTAGTGACCAGAGTCTGCAGCCCTTATTCCCACTGTAGTTTCACTTACCATCCTGCTCCACGTAGTCATTGGGGTCGTTGTCTCTGCTCCGAGACGTCACCTGCACAAGAGAAGCGGCAGCAGAAGCATTAAGAGAGAAATTGCCCTTTCTCCCAAGGCGAGTGGCAGCCTGGCCTTCAAAGGCACTGGCAGCAAGCGGGCCAGAGATGCCATCATGAAACAGCAGGACACCAGTGCACCAGAGTGGAGTGTTTAAGGTGAGATGGACACTACTGGGGCTACGTTAAAGCCTCCCATGAGTTTAAGATGTAGAATGAGGTCTTAACAAGACCATAGTGCCTACAAAGGAGAGTCAATGGAGGAGAACAGAGCAGCACAGAGGAAGGCTTGGGCAGACACTGCTTTTCCCCCTCAGATATTCCTGTTTTGCACTTTCACTACGTTTCCACTGGCGCTTTAGGCCACACAAAGTCTTCTCCAAAGGCATTATTTAGTCCGTATCTTGTGCACAAGCCACTATAGCTCCTGTAGGAATGAAGAGAGGGGAAGGAGAACGTTACACTGACCGGTATAACGCGGGGGTTGTTGGAGATGAGATCACGCGATGTGACATGACGAGTCTGGTCTTCATTGCACCGGACATCCAGGGTAAACTCCACAGAACACTCTGGACAAAACTCATCACATGTGCAGTCCTAGGACAGATACAGGTCAAAACCTTGATGCCAAACCTCTCCTTTTGGCACCCTCACTCCTATCAAAAAAAATCATCAAAGATGTTTCACTCTACTCACTCTGGAATACTGCATCTTATCCACGATGTCATCGCTGGTGAGCGGGATCAGGCCTGAGGAAAGAAGGCAATTAGGGGCACACCTAAGCGAGACCGTGGGAGCATGGACCATCCTACTGGGACTAGCAGAGGAAGGGCAGTCTCACACCACAGGCCCTGCCAGGAGGGAGATTTCACCCGTGTCCCGTTCCTTACGGCACATATTAGCCTTTCTGCCATGGTCCCCTCCTCCCTGGCCGGGACTCACCCAGTCTGTGTGCGATGAACTCGTCGTGGAGCACAGAGGAGTTGGCATCTATTTGGACCCAGTCGATGGCTGCAAAGGGAGAAGGGACGAGCTCAGAAAGGTGCGTGGGGGCCAGGCATGGGGGCAGAAAACATGACACTGAAACAGGGGAGCTGAAAGGGCATTCACTCCACAGGTTACACCCATCAGGACTGAACACCAGGTATCATCTAAGCAAGACAACTTGAGGTAGAGGGAAAAAAAGATGGGAAATGGGGAGGTGGTGGCTGGAGTAGCAGCGTAAGGGCCACGAGCAGGCAAGCCTACAAGCCAAGGCCGATACCTATAATGGGTACTTCGGCGATGAACACCCTCCGGATGGAATTTGCCACCCTGACAGAGAGAACAAGAGCATGAGACACGGCGGAGCGCCCAGCGGCGACGCGAGCGTGGCCGGCGCGGGGACGCA